AGATGAATCTCAGCATGGCAGCCTGGGGGCGCTTGGTCATGAACCTGCTGCCCCCCTGTAGCTCACCAAGTACCATCTCCCCACCTAAGGGGTGCCCTCACTCTCCAGCTACACACCATGAACCCTCCAACCCTGCTTCCCCCAGGTGAGGAGCCAGCTCGTGCCAGACTGTACACTTCTTTGCTGTGTCTGACTCTCTTCAGGCTCAGTTTGTGTCTTTACGTCCCTGTTGCTCTCTATTTTTTGCGGGAAGGGGTGTGCCAGGGATTGAACTCAGGGCCACTCAACCACTGAGCTACATCCCAGCCTTATTTTGTATTTTACTTAGAGACAGGGATTCACTGAGTTGCTTAGTGCCTTGCTTTTGCTGAGGCTGGCTTTGAACTCCTGATCCTCCTGCCTCAGCCTCCTGAGCCCGTGGGATTAAYGGGCATGTGCCAGTGTACCCAACCGTGTTGCTCACTTTCTGACTCTCTGTCTCTTCACATGGGTATAAGTCTTTCTCATGAATTGCTCCGTCATCTTGGTCTTGATTCTGTGTCTGCTTCCTCCCTACAGCGATTTCCTGCCCAAGAAGACCTCCTTGAGAGAAGAGATGAAGCCCCCACCCAAGCCCCCACGCCTCTACCTGGCCCAGGAACCAAACCTGGAGGAGACTCCAGTGCCGGTCGGCAGGGCTGGTGGAAGGGGCAGCTGGTGGTGTTGGTGGGAGGGTGGCAGGCCAGTGGGGAAGCAGGGAAGGTGTGTCTGAGCTCCCTATGCCCTGCTCTCACAGTGCACCAAACGCCCACACATGGCGCCTAGGACTGGACGCACACCCACCCCTCCAGCCTCACCTGTCAGGTACCCATGGGCTCAGGGTCACCTGGAGATGGTCTCAGCTACCCTGAGTGTGTGTGCAGCCAAGCATCCCTCCCTCCTTGGCTCCTTGGGGGCAGGCCCTGGCTCACGCAGGTTCTTRCTTATTTGCTGAACCGTGTCATTGAGCTCTGGCTGCATGCTTTGCTGCAGGGCTCTCCCGAAAGCACAGAGGTGGGGACAGCTGAGGCTGAGACATGGGTGGTTGGGAGGAGCTTAGCTGGGGTCCCAGCCCTGGTCCTACAGGTTTTGTTGTTTTGTTTTGTTGTTGTTTTGTTTTGTTGTTCATTTTCTTTTTCCGGTGGTGCTAGGGGTGGAACCTGGGCCTTGCACATGGTAGGCAAGCTCTCCCACTGAGCACGCCCCTAGCCTCCTCTGTCTGGTGCCTTTTCTCTCTTGCAGGAAAGCCCCCCGGCTTCAGGATTTCCGCTGCTTGGCTGTGCTGGGCCGGGGACACTTTGGGAAGGTAGTGGGCTGAGGGGGCAGTGGAGCAGGTGGGCAGACCCCAGCACATTAGTGAGGAGATGCTGGGTCCTGGAGGCAGTTCCTGGGGAGGTGGAGTCTCCCCCTGTCCTGCTCACCTGGAACCCAGCCTCTCTCTGGTCCCCAGGTTCTCCTGGTTCAGTTCAAGGGGACAGCGAAATACTATGCCATCAAGGCTCTGAAGAAGCAGGAGGTGCTGAGCCGTGATGAAATCGACAGGTGTGTGGTGGGACCAGTGTGGGCTCCAAGTACCCGGGCATTGGCATTGGAGGTACCCAGGGTGGCTGGCCTGGGTTGTGGGCATCCAGACAGCATTTAAAAGGTCTACTAGACCTGGCACCTGTAGTTGTAAACTATGCTCTTGGGCAGGGCCCCCTTTTCTCTTAGCACCTGTCCTCTTCCATGACATGGGGCCATGATAGTTGTGCAGGCTCAGGACCTTTGTGAGCCCTTGGTCCACAGAAACCATCACACTGCCTGCCTGGCACTTTGTACACCCTGTGGGCAGGGTGCTGGGTRGGTGGCAGGGTAGAGACCCCAGAAGCTGTCTATCCCTCTGAGACCCACGCACTCCCCTGCAGCCTCTACTGTGAGAAGCGGGTCCTGGAGGCCGCAGGCCGCGCGGGGCACCCCTTCTTGCTCTCCCTCGCTGCCTGCTTCCAGACTGCCAGCCACGTCTGCTTTGTGACCGAGTTTGTGCCTGGGGGCGACCTCATGATGCAGATACATGAAGATGTCTTCCCTGAGCCCCAGGCCTGGTGGGTTTTCCTGCCTGCATCTTCTAGCAAACTCTCCCTGGTTCCCTGTCCCTTCATCCCGCTGCTCCCTGGGTACCCATCAGCAGAACAGCATAGAGTCAGACCTGGCTCAACTCCCACGGCATTCATGACCTCTGTTCATGCAGCTGTGGGTTTGTCATCACTCCTTTATAGGAGTGTTGGGGAGATGTCAGTAATGCTTATAAATCGCCTGGCATAGAGACCGGCAGCTGGAATTATTTTTTGCTGTCCAGTGCTGGCGCTGGAGTTAGAAAGGCCTAACTTGGTCTGTTAGTTCTGCCCCTAGCTTTTGACTCTGGGCAGGTCCCTTACTGGAGTCTCAGGTCCTTATTTGAATAAAAGACATGGTGAGCATCCCCCCAGACTTCGGGGAGGGTTCCAGGAAAGTAAGGTATGTGGGGCACTTGGCATAGATCCTGGCACAGTTGAAGACTCCAGGAAGGATAGGTCATTATTGTGCAGCAGCCTTAGCACAGTCTGGGTCCTGTTGTCTGGAGAAGCCCTTCAGCCCAGACATGAGGATCCTCTGTCCCATCTCTCACCCACATCTGAATTCACCTTCCTGGTACCTGGCCTGGGCCTGAGTTCTCCCCCACACCCCCCTCCAGCTTCTACCTGGCCTGTGTGGTCCTGGGGCTGCAGTTCTTACACGAGAAGAGGATAATTTACAGGTACCTTTTTCCCTGGAGGTGCTGAGGGCAGTAAGGGTAGGCAGTAGGATACTACCCCACTCCTGGGCTGCTCTAGGGACCATTGGTGGTCCCTGGGCCTCAGCCTTCTCAGCCTCTTTTGTTTGTCCCCCTGCCCTCAGGGACCTGAAGCTGGATAATCTTCTGCTGGATGCCCAGGGCTTCCTGAAGATCGCAGACTTTGGGTTATGCAAAGAAGGTGGGGCCACCTGTCCAGGTCCACACCCCACTCCTCACCAAGCAGCAGATACCTCCCGTCCAACCCCCAGGCCTTCTGGCGAAGGACTGGGAATGCTGGCCCTTCCTTCCTAGCCTAGACTTGGTCAGAGGAGAATCTGTGCTTAGGGCTGGAGAGGGAGTTGAGTCCTGCCTCTCATGTGACTTTGGCCTGTGGGTTTGGCTGAGACTTAGCTCCCTTATGCAGTCCAATGACCACCTCATGACCATGCCACTTTCGAGTGTGTGGGGCAGGGCTTGTCATGGGCTTGGCTACCTGGGATCTTAAGGTTTGGCATTGATTTTTTTTTTTTTTTTGGTGGTGGTACTAGGGATTGAATTTGAGGGCATTCTACCACAAAGCTACATCCCAGTCCTTTATTTATATTGAGACCGGCCCTCACTAATGTACTGAGAGGCTGGCCTTGAACTTGAGATCTTTCTGCCTCAGGCTCTCAGTAGCTGGGATTATAGGCCTGCGCCACCAGGTCCAGCTGACATTGATTCTTATCACAGAAGTTATAGTGAACAGGTCACACTAAGCAGGCATTGGTATGGATGATGGTCTGCAGGGATCGGCTTTGGGGACCGGACAAGCACCTTCTGTGGCACCCCAGAGTTCCTGGCTCCTGAGGTGCTGACTCAGGAGTCCTACACACGGGCTGTGGACTGGTGGGGGCTGGGAGTGCTGCTCTACGAGATGTTGGTGGGTGAGGTAAGGATGGGTACGGCTGCTGGGGCCTCAGGTAGGGTGGAATGAAGTGGCGCATATACCCACTGAGTCCCATTTCTACAGTGCCCGTTCCCAGGAGACACGGAAGAGGAGGTGTTTGACTGCATCGTCAATTCAGATGCCCCATACCCCCACTTTCTGTCTGTGCAAAGTCTAGAGCTCATTCAGAAGGTAGGCACTGTGGGGTGAGGGCTGGGCCTGACAGCTACTATGGCTTGCGTGCCTCTCGCTACCATGCTCGGGGCCCTGTGGCGCTGCTCACATGGGTACCTGTGGAGGGCAGAGAGTGCCTAGGTGGAGCACCCTGAGTGCACACCTGCCCTCCTGCCCAGCTCCTCCAGAAGTGCCCAGAGCAGCGCCTGGGGGCAGGCAAGCAGGATGCCGAGGAGATCAAGGTGCAGCCCTTCTTCAGGGTGAGTGGCTTGGACCATAATGGTCTCTGGTGCTTGGTATGGGGGAAACCTGGGGTGACCCCCGGGGACTCTGTTCCCACCTTCTCAGGCACCTCTGCCCTTGTCCCCAGACTACCGACTGGCAGGCCCTGCTCACTCGCACAGTCCAGCCCCCCTTCGTGCCCACGCTTTGCGGCCCAGCAGACCTGCGCTACTTTGAGGGAGAGTTCACAGGGCTGCCACCGGCTCTGACCCCACCTGCCCCTCGAAGGTCCCTTACCACCTGCCAACAGGCTGCCTTCCAGGACTTTGACTTTGTGTCCGAGAGATTCCTGGGGCCCTGAGGGCTCCCCCACACCTTTGCCCATGCCCCTAGACTACTGGAACCCCCACTTGCCCATCTGTGTGCCCACCCAGAGGCCCAGGTTTATAAGCTGTAGGACTCGCGGTGACAGCCAGAGGGCTACTGTGGTGGACTTTGCTCACTGAGCAAAGTGTGTCCTCTGCCCTTCCTCCCATCTCTCTTCTTCCTGGMCAAAACTGGACCAGAGAGGGTACACAGTAAGGAGTGGCTTGATTTGTATTTAATATTTGACTTGCTTTATGGATTATTAAATTTGAAAAACTGTGCCCTGGAGGCAGCCTGGTTTGGGGGTAGGGTGGAGTCTGGGGTGCCTTGGTGCTGGAACCCCAATTAGGTCCTCTTTTCTTTCTTCTTTGGGAAGACAGAACCAGCCACTGTCTTGATGCTCTGCTTTGAGGCCAGGGAGGGTGGGCGGGAGTGAGGAGCTCCAGGCCCTCCAAGGGCTGACTCCAGCTAGGTATGGTTCCTCTGGTTTTCAGGCACAAGGTGGCAGCTCTGCCTCCAGCAAACCTAAACAGCCTGGCTGCTGCCCTCCTCCACTTCCTCCTCAGCCCAGAGGGTCTCCCAGGACCCTGAGGGCCATCCACAGAAGAAATGGGCCAGGTTGCGGGTCAGGCCACGGTTGAAAGGGTTGCTGGTGCGCTGGCGGAGGTAGGCAATACGGTGTGAGGAGATGAACTCCCAGGTGGTGGTGTTGCTGGCCACCAGATAGAGGTGTGAGGCCAGGAGTAGGCCAGCCACCAGTGAGAAGAAGGACAGCAGCAGGAAGGTGGCAAACAGAAGGCCCCTGGACCGCAGCCACAGCCCCCAGGGCTGGAAGAACTGGAGGCCAGACCTGCAGGACAGGGACAGGGACTCAGAGACAGGAGAAGGCAGGGTGCCCCCATCCCTCTCAGCTGGGCCCAGGGAGCCCTGGCTCTACACACCTGTGGATACATGCTGCCCATGCTCCCTCCATGCCCTGGGTGGCAGTGGTACCTACACCTACCATGCCAGGTACAGGCCCCACAGAAGAACCACCAGCTGCAGTGCCAGGTAGGCCACGAAGAGCGGGTGATTGCGTTCCCCCACACAGTTCTCCATCCAGGGACAGTGATGGTCATAGCGGCGGACGCAGCGGCGACAATCACGACAGTGTCGGGCCCGCAGGGGCTGCTGTAGGCACAGAGAGGGATGAAGACCAGGGTCAGGGCCTGAACTTGGTAGGCCAGAGTCCTGGGGCAGAAGGTCCCATGGGGGTCCCTGCATCACCCACCAGCACCAGGCAGTATCTGCAGCGTCGAAGGGCAATCCCCTGTGGAACCATGGCTGTCTGTTCCTCCTTGGGCTCCTGAAAATAAGGGACAGAGAACGAGATAGGGTATCCTTAGGAGGTAGATGACACTGGTAGGCATCTTCCTTGGGGGCCAGCTTACTCTGGTTGTGGAGTTTGGGGCTCATCCCATGTAGGTGGGTAGAGCAGAGCACCCTACACTGAGTAAAGCTATGTGACCTTTGCAAGGTTCATCTCTCTGGGCCTTGGTGATTTCCTTATTGCAAGAAAAGAGTCTAGGGCTGGCAAGACAGTTTACTGAGATGCCCCCACAAAAGCCCATAGAATAAGGCCCGTCATGGAGGCTGTTACTGGGCCTTGGGTCCCTGCTGTCTGGAAGAGGAGTTCAGGCTCCCAGGGGCCCCTGATTACCTGGGGCTGGGGCTGAGTATTCACATAGCCAGGATCCATAAGCGACACAGCCAGGTAGAGCAGCAGGGAGCCCAGCACCAGGAAYAGGAAGGTAAGGGGCAGGAGCAGCTCCCCCTGCTCTTCCCATTGCCGCAGCTCTAGAGAGACCAGAGGACAGTGAGGCTGGTCCCCCAGAGCAGAACAGGAAGGGCAGGGCTGGAGGTGAGGAGGATTTCAGGGAGGTGAGAGGGCTGAGGACAGCAGGGTGTGGACAGCTCTGATGCCCTTGGTTATAAAAGGGAGCAGAGAATGAAGGGGGGCTTTTGAGGGACATCCTTTCCTGATGGGGAGACTTGAGCAAATTTTTAGGCTAAAGCGGGTGGGGGCTCACTGTGGCAGATAAAGGTGGTGGGTAGGGGACTCCAGAGGAGAATGATGGGATGCAGGTGGGTGGGTGAATGGGTGCTACTATGGGACTCTGGAGACGGCCCCCTCCCTTACCCGAGTATTCCCTTGCCTGAGATTGGGAAGTCCGAACTGGGATGCCAGTCCGTGAATGTAGGTGATCCTACTAATCTCATGAATAGGGGGATTGGGAGTCAATTCCTTGGAAGGATGGAGTCTGGTCCAGGGTCATGGAGATGGGAGCTCTAGTCGATCCTTTAGTGTTTCTTGGGATGGACAGGGCATCTGGCAGTAATCAGGAAGATGCTGGGATTAATTAAAGATCAACTGGTCATCAGGGGAGAGCAGGTGGCTGGGGGAATGACGGATGGGAGAGGGCCTGGAGCTGGCGGAAACGGGGTGAATCTCGGGCTCTCTGGGGAATAGGTGGGGGACCTGGTGAGACCCAAACGTGCGAGGCACTACACGGGATCGGATGGGTCCGGGTCGCTCGGGGTCCGACTCACCGGTATCGTGCAGGAAAAGCACCAGCGTGATCCCCCAGGTCAGCACGGTGTGGCCGGTTCGCACCAGGACCCCAGGGCTGAGGAGCGCCCAGGGCGCCATCGCCAGGGCCGGGGCCCCACCCGGAAGACGCGCCGGGAGGAACCGGCCCTGGGAGAGGGGCCGCGGTCGCCCTGGGATTGGCGGATCCGGATGGTGGGCAGGGCCGAATTGGCGCAGGGAGGATGCCTATTGGATGACAGCTGCGGCCGAGTGGGCCCTCAAGCCAACAGGTGCCTGAGGAGGCTGAGGGCGGGGCCGGCGCGCGCGCAGCCGGTAACTCCCCCAACTCCAGCCCCCACCAGCCAGGTAACTTTTCAAAGCCGCTGAGCAGGCGCGCGGCTCGAGCCGTTCTCTCGGGCTCCGCCCCCACGGCCTCGCGCATGCGTGCAGATCCCTAAGCGACCCGCAGTTCCAGGACCTTGACATGATTCCAGCGGGCAAAATTGTGCCCATCTCAAAGGTGTGATGGTTAAGACGTCAAAAGAGACAGAGCCTGCCCTACGTTGCTCCGGGACGGCATTCTTACCTCCTTCAGTTCGTTTTCGAATATCGCAAACGTTTGATGGAAAAGTGGAGGTCCTTGGTGCGGATTCTGGCTGAGCGGCCCATCTTTTGGTTAGTGTCAGAAATACTGACACTGCCTCTTCCTCCCTGACTGTTCCCGGGCAAGTGTCCGAACTCCCCTGAGCTGTTTTCTATCTGTATAACGGGGATGATAACAGTACCCCCACCTCCCAAGGTGATTGGAGGATTAAGTACTGGAAGTGCCCTACCTGGCGCTCCTGCTGTTCTAAGCCAGCACCTGCTCCCAGCCCGACTGCTCTCCCTTACAGCCCTGATTCTAGCACACCTCCCACTGATGCCAGCGACCACCTTAAGCCACCCACTCCTGCAGTGCACTCTTCCGACATGTATTGCCTTGGCCAGTTCAACATCTCCCTTTAAAAAAAATTTTTTTTTTTTTAAGATGTTGATGGACCTTTATTTTATTCACGTGCTAGGCAAGCGCTCTACCACTCAGCCCCAGCCCCAGCCCTCAACATTCCCTTTTCTATGGAGGAAATGATATCTCAATCCAGCATGGCTCTAGAAGGATTGCCTTTCACTCCATAGCAAGAGCAGGGCATGGGCATGTGACTCAGCAAGGGCAATAATTCCATGAGATCGATTGCTGAAAAAAGGACATTCTTTTGGACTCAAGCATAAATAATAGGATATAAAGGCATCTTTACATGGAGAGATCCTATCTGGCAGGAGCTTATAGGCCAGCTTATAGGGACATGAATATAAGCAGCATTAAAAGAAAGAGTCTTAGAATGTTTTCCCTCCGGCCCTCTGGATCCAGCTATGCCTGAAGCTGGTATTGTCTCTAAGTTGCCCCTTGCATTCATCAATGAATTTCCCACCTTGACTATCCTGGTCAGTTCAAGTTGGGTGTCTGTCACTTGCAACTCAGTCTTGATTACTGTGATAGGTATGTTACTTAATGTGCCCAGTGGAGAACTCTAGTACATTATCCAATCAACAGATAATTCTCAGGCTTTAATATATATATATATATATATATATATATATATATATATATATATTTAGTTGTTGATGGACTTTATTTTTATGTGGTGCTGAGGATTGAACCCAGTGTGTCACACATGCTAGGTGAGCACACTGCCTCTGAGCCACAACCCCAGCCCCTAGTTCTCAGGCTTTTATGAGTAAGGCATTATGCTGATGACAAGCTGATCAACTAAAGAGTTAGGATTTTTTTAATGTTTATTTTGTTTTTATGTGGTGCTGAGAATCAAGCCCAGAGCCTCACACATGCCAGGCAGGCGCTGTACCACTGAGCCATAATCCCCAGCCCCTAGGATAGACTTTGATCAGTGTTATATCATTGCAACATGGAAGGGGACCCAATGTGAACTAACTCAACTTCTATTTGTGTACCCTGACATTTAAAAGGTAGAATGAGCCAGCGACTCAGGAATTTGAGGCAAGATCCCAAGTTCAAGGCCAACCTGAGCATCTTAGCAAGATCCTAAATAAAACTAAAAACAACCAGGTGCAGTGGCACATGCCTGTAATCCCAGCAGTTTGGGAGGCTTGGGCAGCTTAGGCAGGATTGCAAGTTCAAAGCCAGCCTCAGCAACTTAGTAAGGTCCTAAGCAACTCAGTGAGACCTTGTCGGTAAATAAAATATAAAAAAGGGCTGTGCATGTGGCTCAGTGGTTAAATGCCCATGAGTTCAATCTCCAGTACCAAAAAACAAATAAAACAGGACTAGGAGTGTAGCTCAGTGGCAAAGTACTTGCCCAGCATGTGCAAGGCCCTGGGTCCAGGCACCAGTACTGCAGTAGTAAATAAATAAAAATAAAAGGTAGAATGAGGGAGTAGGGAAAGGGAACCTAGGGGATTTGAGCAGTCAGGGAAATGAAAAATGGCAAAGTCTTGGTCAATGCTGATGCTGGGAGGCCAGGCCTGTGTCCATAAGGGTGGACTCAGGATTCCAGCCTCCGGTGGCCTCTGCGGATCACATTTCAGAGGAGCAGCTCTCTGGTTCTTGAGAATGCCTCTCCTGAGTTGTAGGAGATAGATTCACATTTATAAAGGCACAGAGGAAGGATTCACCATCATAAACCCTTTCAGTAAGTGCTCCGAGGGTCTTGCCGGGCAGGGGTTCTGGTGCCAGGTGTTGTCGAGGAAAAACTCAAGTTCTTTTGGCAGCCTTGAGCTTTCCTACGCGGGCAGTTAAAGGGATCTAGGGTTGGCTGTCCTAGGGATGTGACCTTGAGATGTTAGACACTATGTTAATGTTTGTCAGGGAGGGGAGTGAATAAAATCATGTGGGTTAAGAGTCAGTAGTTTTTTTTTTTTTTTTTTTTTGGTTTCTTTAGTTGTAGTTGGACACAATATCCTTATTTTATTTCTCTATTTTTATGTAGTGCTGAGGATTTTTTTTAAGAGAGAGTGAGAGAGGAGAGAAAGAGAGAGATAATTTTTAATATTTATTTTTTAGTTCTCGGCGGACACAACATCTTTGTTKGTATGTGGTGCTGAGGATCGAACCCGGGCCGCACGCATGCCAGGCGAGCGCGCTACCGCTTGAGCCACATCCCCAGCCCAGAGATATTAGTCTTCTTTTGAAGAAGTGGGTCATGTTTGAGGACCCCAACTGGAAAAATATAATTTCTTCACCAGTGAAACATCAGATTTGACCTGAGTTGTAGCAAATATTCCAAAGCTGGCTTTGGATGTGTCTCCCCCAAAATTCATGTGTTGAAGTTCAGCTTTTTTGGTGGGACCCTGGGGAAGTGATTAAATCACAGGGGCTCCACTCTCATGAATTGGATTAGTACCTTGTAAAAGGGCTGGAGGCAACTAGGTTAGCCCCCTTTGCCCTTCTGCTCTGATCTGCCCTGTGAGGACAGGAGGGCATAGCATTCCTCCTCTCTGGAGGATTCAAGGCATCATCTTGGAAGCAGAGAGCTGCTTCCATCAGATACCAGTCTTCTTGCTGCCATTTTGATCTTGGACTTCCCAGCCTCCAGAACTGAGAAATAAATTTCTGTTCTTATTAAAAAAAATTAATTGAACATGGATACATTTGTTTTATTTATTTTTTTAAGATTTTCTTTTTTGGTTGTATATGGATACAATACCTTTATTTTGTTTATTTTTATGTGGTGCYGAGGATCAAACCCAGTGCCTCACACATGCTAGGCTAGCGCTYTACCACTGAGCCACAACCCTAGCTCCTATTTATTTATTTTTTTAGGTGGGGTCTTGCTCTGTTGTCCAGGCTGCATCAAACTCCTGGGCTCAAGTGATCTTCCTTCCTCAGCCTTCATAGTAGCTGGGATACCGGCACGGGTCACTGCTCAGCCCCTTCCTTCCTTCCTTCCTTCCTTCCTTCCTTCCTTCCTTCCTTCCTTCGTTCCTTCCTTCTTTCCTTCTTTCAGAGCCAGGGACACTGTATCACTGAGCCACATGCCCAGCCCATTTTATTTTTTATTTTGAGACAGGGTCTTGCTAACTTTCTGAGGTTGGCTTCAGAGTCCTCCTGCCTCAGTCTCTTGAGTTGCTGGGATGATAGGGCACGCCATCATGCCCCCATTTTTTGTTTTGTACTGGAGACTGAACCCAAGGATGCTTTGCCACTAAGCTATATCTCCAGCGTTTTTTTTTTTTTTTTTTTAATTTTGAGACAGGGTCTCAAAAAAGTTGCTGAGGTGAGGCTCAAACTTGTGAGCCTCCTGTCTCAGCCTCCCAAATTGCTGAGATTACAGGTATGTACCACAGCATCCAGCCTCAATATCTATTATTTAGAGCTTACCAGTCTCATGTTTTGTTATAGCAGCCCAGACACTCCCCTGTTTTCCACTCATCCAGCAAGTGTTTTTAAAAAAATATCTTTTATTTTTATGTGGTGCTGAGGATTGAACCCAGGGCCTCACACATGCTAGGTGAGCACTCTACTGCTGAGCCACAATCCCAGCCCAATATTTTTTTTTAATATTTGGTAGTTGTAGATGGATACATTTATTTATGTATGGATACAATACATTTATATATGTATTGTATACACAATACAATTTATTTTATTTATTAATCTTATGTGGTGCTGAGAATTGAACGCAGTGCCTCAAATGTGCTAGGCAAGTGCTGTAGCACTGAACTATAACCCCAGCCCATCCAGCAAGTTTTTTTTTTTTAAATTTATAATTATAGATGGACAGAATGCCTTTATTTTATTTATTTATTTTTTATTTGCTGCTGAGGATCAAACCCAGTGCTCATACATGCTAGGCAAGTGCTCTGCCACTGAGCTACAGCCCCAGCCCCCAATCCAGCAAATTTTAAATGAGCATCCCCATGTGCAGGGTTCTGGGCTGTGCCACAGCAGAGCCTTAACGTTGCCTGTTGCTTGCATTTCAGCACAAGACGCAAAGTAACTTCAGCCCCATGAAGTCACAGGCACTGTGATGGGGTTTGCAGTAAATAGTAGGTGCTGGGGCTGGGGGGCAGGGGGAGTGGTGCCTGGCGGAGCCACTCTGCCTCTCAGGATCTCAGCATCCCTATCCGTGAGGACTACGTGGAAGAAGAGTGTACACAAAGCTCACGGCA